TTGGCAGCAAGATGGAGGGTTTGCGTGTAGATTTATTAAAATAAATCAAATTAATTCTCCACATTCCGAATTATTTTGGGAATTGTGCCGTGAATGGGCGAAATGATTGAATCTGTTTCACAGGAAGTGGCAATTTCCATAATTTAATTTATTATTATGATGCGTGTATTAGTATTACATATTATTGCCGTGACGGGGATCAGACTGGAATGTCAGTCCGGAAATAATTCACCCCAGCTTTCACACCCCACCCACTCGCCGCCCTCCTTTTATGACTGCTCCCCGGCTGTAGCGTAAGCTCTCAAGGGAAGTTCAGTGGTAGCGAAATCTGCTACTTTTAGTTTTCTATATCCCCACCCAATTTACATATCATACATAATACATCCACGATATAACTCACATTTTAACACTTTACATCCAAAGCGTTTAAATATTGTGTAAATCTAATCCCAAAGCTTTTATCATACATCGTGAGCTCCTCACAAAAGCTCTCTACATGCACACACTCTCTGCCAACACTGCCGAAGCCGGAGTGTAGAATGAGATTTACCATGAGGAGCCATGCGGAGACTTTTTGTCATTAAAAGGGCCAAAAAGCTGAGGAAATATTGGCAGAAAGGCATAAAGTATTTATAGACCAGAAAAAAAAATTCTGTCCCAATTTGGGCTTTTATAAATTCAAATACACATTTTCTTATACATTTTCTTGGGCCACGTGAATTGTTTTTCCTCCTCTGGGCTGAATACGATGAAGGGAGGAAATTAAAAACCAATCTTTATATATATTCTTAGACAAGAGAAATGTAAGAACCCCCAGAATTTTAAGATATGGTTTCCAATTACCCGATCTTCAGAATTTCATCACTCTAAAATTTCACAGACCTTTCATATTCTGAATATTCAGAAGGATTCGATGAATCGCAATTAGTTCATTTGCAATCTCTAATATTGACAGCTTGAGTTATTGTCGGATTTGCAACTGAAACGCGCGCGCCAAGGGTATGGAGAATTGTGGAGAATCCCGGAAAACTTCTGGTAGAGATAATTCAGCCACATCCACTGACGCCGCGAAGCGCTAAAAGGCGTCAAGTTTAACTGCTGGGCGGCGGAAAAAGAAGATTTTCGCGGGGAGGAATGGCATTGCGCGAGAGAGTAATTTGGCGCTCGAAAAGGGAATTTCGCGTCGTCTTCGACGTGTCACTTCTCAAATTAGCATTTAATTGAAAAATGAGCGAACAACAAGTCGTCATCATTTTCCTCATCATCCTGTCCCATTCTTCTTGTGTGCCTTGCGATGTTCGCGTCAGAGACTCACTCTCTGTCGCCTTTTCCAAAGCATCCGGAACTAATTTAAACTTGTCAACGCCGTCATCATCACGCGGGAGCAGGTGAACTCCAACTGAGCCGAGAGAGAGAGGCAAGTGGACTCCTTTTCACACACAGCACAGCACAGCATAGAGTCTACCTGGCGGAGCCTTCAGTCATCGGCAGGGAAGCACTTTCCTCCCACTTCGCCTCGCATTCGATGCCTGTATTTGAGATATCTCCTCACGAGAGTAAATCTCGCGAGGCTCAGCGCTGAATGAGGTGGAATCTCTTTGGAATTTCACGAGTGTCTCCCCAACACAACTCTTATCGCCACGGACGACGAGGGAGGATATTTGACATAGTGACACAATTGATTTGACGCGAAGTTTTCCCTCCCCGTTGGAAAGAGGGATGGTAATTATCCTCTTCGGCTCCTTGAGGAATTTCATTAAATGATCAGGATTCAGGGATATTTCACAGGATGGAAGTTGAGTGTCTGTCTCTTTTTCTTATCAAATTTATCACATTCAGAAGAGTTGAATGTACTTTATAAAGCACCAAGGAAGCCACACAAGACTCAGTCAATTATATTGCACAATACTTGAAAGAGACAAAGAGCTTTGAGCAAAGCAAGGAAATTAATAAATGTGTTAATTTTCTTAGAATTCGAAACCACACGATAAGATCTTTGTTACGATAACCTCAAGTTATACACAATCGGAAGTATGAGAACACACAGAACTGTGCAATCAGTTTTGCATAGTTTTGGGAATCTATTTCAAAGGATAACCAATTATATCTATCGTCACTGGAGCTGACTCGTAGGCAAATTGATGGTAGAATTTCTGCAGAAATTGCGACAAGTCTAAATTTCTCAGAAACACTCGGTAGATTTTTGGCATGATAATGAAATAGCATGAATCGTTTATGATGATAATAGCATGTAAATATTATACATACATATTTTCTACATGATTCCAAATTGCTCGTCGCTTGTGAAAAAGTAAATACCCCAAAATCCCCTCTAACCATTCATTCTCTCGCACTCTCGGCTAATATTGCACGGTGAGTTGACTGAAAAATAATATTTTTTTTTTGTGCAATTTATTGGTGAGAGGGAGGAAATTATGTGAATTTCATTTTGGGAAAAGCGGTGGAGAGTTTCATTTTGGAAAGTGTGCTCTTTTTTGCTCTTCCACTATATGGCCACTATATTGAATTACGGCATGAAGTCAATAACGTGAAATCCTGTCAATCGGGGTGAGTTTTGCCGGGGTTAACGGGGCCACCCTTCGGGGGGAGAAACTAAATAAGAGACAGCCAACAGCCGAGGAAGCACGGACGACGGTTGGGTGTTGAAAAAAATTCATTGCACGAAAGATCAGCACAAATACAGACAGATGGTGGACGAATCAACACGGCCGCAAGGCGAGGGTGAGAAAAAAGGAGAAACACGAGTTTTCTCAGAAAGCATTGGAAAACCACCAAGAAATGGAATACAAATAAAAACGTGTTGGGAATATTTTAAAATTCAGAAATGTTTGACATGCCATAAGCTGGGCATGAAATTAAATGTGGAATTTAAGGGCTGGGATTTTCACATGCTATAGAGTTGGCAGATTGTGTAAATCGAGGAGCAATGGATGGAATTTATGCTTTAATTTGCCATACACTCAAGGTGAGGTTATCATGAGAATCTCAATGTGAGCTTCCATTAGCTCAGGAGGGAAAAATCCTGTGCATTTTCTTAAGCCGCCGCCCCAGCAGAAAAGTGACCGAATGAGAGAAGAAGATTTTCATTTATTATTTTTAACAAGCTTAAAAGTGAAAAATTCTTTATAATTTTGACGTGCTGACTCCCACTTCATTGTCTTTGATGTAATTATAAAGTATTATTATCTGCCAGACCCATGGCTGGCATAATAAGGGATTTTCTATTCAATATATGCTATGTAGAGGGTTAAGTGTAGGAATTTCCTCCGTTGTTCTTTTTACGCGTCGTGGCTTTTTCTCTCTCACTCTCCTCCAAATGCCATCCTTGCATCTTCTCCTTGTGTATCCTTCGTATCGTCTGTGCAGGATTCTCGCTTACACTTTAATTACAATTCTTTTCTAATTAATATATGTATATAATGTAATTTGTACATAGGATATCAAGTGAATATACTCGTGTGGAATTGCTGTGGAGATGAAATTAATTATAATTTATCTGCGTGAATTATAAATTCATGTAAGAGCCCATAGTATTGTATACACACACACACTTAATATATATGTACTTGCGTGAAGAATTGGGGAAAATCTCCGGGAAACTGTCGAGGGGTAGAATAAGGACTAATGACGAATTTGGTTGGAAGAGAAGATGCGAGTTGCTCATCATTCAATTAGGTATAATTTATTAAAAGGTGCGGACGGATCCATGAGGCAAATATATCAAAGTATAAACCGAAATGGGAAAAGGAGGAGCAACTTTGGACAAGATGAGAGAAAGGACGTCGAGAGAATTAATTAAAGAACTCTAACCAGTAAGTTTATACCTCCAGAAATATCATTCGACCATTTCGCTCTCACTCCCGCAGCATTTGTACCTTTTGGGGGGGGGGGGGGGGCAGAAAGTTTTTCCAAAGTTTGCACACTCCTTTGCATTTCCCAAATAGTTTTGCCATGCTTAATCTTTTCAAATGGAAATAATTCATTTTACAAGTTATGCTTTAATGAAAATAGTAAAGTCAATGATGAGGAAAATCATCAAAGACTACAAACACTCCTCGGGAAATTTTTCAATTTATTTACAACTCTCTCTCTCCGGGTGATATGCAAAAGTTTATCGTTTCCACTAAATTTCATTGGAGCACAATTGAATGTACAACAAGAAAATATCTGATTATTACTCAATTTATCATTCTTCAGCTGCAAATGAATTTCTCACAAGCATTGCAACTGGAGAAATATATTTTCCTTTAGTTGCAATGCCAGGAATTCCTAAAGTTCCCACCATATCAAATGGGGCGCAATGCAGAGTGAATTGCCTCTGATGTGCCTTTTTCTCCACGCGCGTCTCGCGCCCCTCAACTTGTTGGCAAAGTTGCCAAAGAAGACGAAGGGGGTGGATTGAAACTTTACGATTAAAATAGTATAAATTTAATTGCAATTCAACAAACGGCAAACTTTTAATCTCCACTCGTCGGGGCGGAAATTCCTTCCATAGATACAAAGTTGTTTCATTTAAATAGCTTTCCTATTCACAGGGTCCAATTGTCTTTTTATTGCCTATCTCTCTTGTGTGCTTCCCTCCATCACTGTGTGTCTGGGCATCATCCGCAGCCCCGAAGACTCATTGCGACTATTGTCAACACATTAAATTCTCCCTTGATTCAGGATGAGCGCGCGCGGGGCGTCTCGCGGGGCCACTGGGTGAGTTTGTGTGTATATAGTAAAAATTAAGTAAATGGGAAATGGCAAATTTTTCCTTCAAATCACATCTCTGTGATTGTGATCTCCGCACGAAAGTTAATTTCCCTTGGAATTGGGTGTAATAAAAAGTGTTGGACTGTCGATGGAGGGGAAGTGAATGGAGGGGTGGCGAGGGATGGTGTGCGCAGGACTGCGTCTCCTCCGCTGGTTCATGATCCTTGCTCTCCCTCTTGGCTCATTAAATTCATCGTCCTCGCGGTGTCTTTCTCGGCAGTTGCTCTTTGCCCGTGTTTCCAATCGCACGCGAGTCCCATCGCTGGCGCAGCTTCATCGCTCCCGGAAGCTTGAGTGTCTGAGACAGTGTTGTTGATCCGGTGTCTTGCGGACTACTTGCAGATATTGACCTCGCGGCCCCACACGAGCGCCAGCGTGATCTCAATTCTCGCGGAGACGCACACGAGGACACAGAGAGTGGTGGCATTTAATAAGGATATCCTGGGGAGGGAGAGTGTGAGTGCAGAAGCGGAGGAAAAAGTTGAGTGATGATGGATGAGCAAACTGGACTCTCAGGTCCGACATTCAACTGTGAAACATGATAAACATAATTAGTGCGGCACCGTAGAGCACATGAGAAGTTGAGGTAGTGGCGCGGGATTCCCTCATTTTAAACATCAAGTGAGTTATGATTTCCCCGTGGGAACTGTGGATTTACCGCCACCACCTCTGTTGCTTCCGATAAGGTTGTCCAGTGTGCACACCCTTCGAGCAACAAGCCCCGCGCTCGGTTTTTTTGCCCAGCATCGCTGAAAGTCACCCATGGGTCGGGGTGCAGAGCATACGAAAATGCTGATAAATTATGCACTGAGTAAAGCACTGAAAGCGCTCTAAGTGATTGGTCTGTGTGCTGAGAAAACTTCCATCAAAGTAAAGAGGGTGTGAGCCGCGCAAACCCTCAAAGGTGGGATAGAAGGAAGGAAGAAGAAGAAAAAAAAACGAGTGGAAAATAAAATGAGTTATAGAAACTTTTCCGGTGGAGAAAGTTGAGACGAAAAGTCCAGTGGATAAATTCAACAGTCGTGCTTTTTTCCTCTCGCAGTGCGCGAAAATTTTTTTGCCACGATCCCCTCCATCGTGTGTTTGTGTGCCACAAAGAGCACGCCAAGGAGTTGAAATTTGATCAAGTGCACTCACAGAAAATGCAGTCACCTCTGTCGAACCTGAGGTGCATCCTTCTGCTGCTCGTGATAGCGACAGGTAAGTTCCACGGCAAACTTGCACCCTTGCAGGTGAATTTCACGGCGAATTATTTCCACTTTCACCCTATGCTCGTCTCAGTGTTATCCCACCCCGTCTTACATGGATTACCAGTGATAATCACATTCTCGCTGCAGGGCCGGAGGCGGGCGAAATCTGTGCAAGATTAGACTCGCAAATACACCCACTGCACACATGCTTTTGCCATAGTCAGAAAGAGGATTCCCATGTGAGAAGATTTACGGTGCGAAAGCTCGCAACGCAGAAAATCATTCTTTTCTCGCTTCAGCTGCGAAGCAACTCCAGGAGGAGCTCTTTAATCTGACACTACACATGTCTCGCGGATTCAGGCGGAGCGATTTATCAGACAACGCGATTTATCAGTTCGAGCACATTTGACTTCTTAAAATTGAAAACGCGATTCGCAGTATTACATTAATCTCTGTGTTGTCGCCTTACTCTCTCGCTATATATATTGATTGTAAAGTGATTTGTGAGGAAAAGTCCGTGATAATTCCTGGACTGATTGTGGGACGAAAAATTCAGTAAATTTGCTGACATTCTGGCAATCATCGAAGTATTTTCCTCAAACCGACATTGTATAAATTAATCAGAGAGACAGCCATGTATTTATTAATGCATTGTTGTCGCTGTTTTGTCTGATAAATTGCCTAATTTGCACCCAAAGACAGAAGTGTGAAGGATACAAAGTGCACAATCGATTGTGATAAAATATGAGAGGTTGAATAGTACTGAATGCCCTCCGAAATTTATAATTGATATCAATCAATTGTCAAACATTTCAAAACATTAATTTGGAAACTTTCATCGAGCTTCGTGGGGATAAATTTGAATTTTTTATGCTAGAGGAAAACTCTGTGGTTGACGTAATGGAAATTGATTTTGCTGCAACTGAGTTAAATTTTTTACGGCCAGTCTTGCCTGTGTCAATAGGTAAATTGGGACGACTTGCAGCAAATTCTAATCTATGCACATCGCAGTTGAATTTAATTGCCCTGTCCCCGTGTGAAAATGGGAAATTGATCCAATTGACAAATGCAACCAACACTCCAAATGCATTTCAATGAAACTGCGCGTAATTCAGCAAATAAATATAATGAGTTTGAGGTTGAACCTAATTTTGCCAGAACAATATCAATTGCGCTGCCGGCTTGACAATGGCCGTGCATTAAAAATAATTATATGCATTTTTCGGCCACGATGGCATCGGTGAGCCTCAAAATGCCGCCCACAATGTGCGTTTGGAAGAAAATATGACGTTCGCCGTTAGTCAAGCGCTAATGAAGCTTTTACAAACAGTTTTCATGTCGAGTAATCTATGCAATTTCATGGCATTTTACCCCTCAAAGTGGCAATAATTATGCATGTGATTGACAAGCAAAACCCCGCCAGCCCACCCACCGAACATGTCAAGTAGAATAATGGTGAATTGAATTTAGTTATTACACACTCTTGACACTATTATGATAATTTTCATGAACTCAAAATATCCATGACGTAGTTGTGCATGCAAAGTGGATTCATGAATGAAAATTCCGCGCACTTTCCCATCGAATGAAAATATTTTAATGTAAACCCACAAAATGCAGATATTGTTGCAACATTTCTAGCCAAGGGGAGAATGGCGAAAGAAAAATATCTGTCAAGGTGGAATGCAACGATTTATCCTGTTGGGTTGACTTATGATGAGAATAAGTTGGGGGGGTTGGAAGAGGCGCATTTCTTACAAACTCTCTCATGTGCACTGCGCTGACTTTCATCGGCACTCATGAGGAGGGAAAGTTGTATGATGAAAACTTTGAGTCATAGAAGAGAGTAAATTGAGACGCTTTTTTTCCTAATGATAAAGTTGAAATTTAAATCTCTTCTTTCATGCGACTAAAGCTAAGTCAATGGATTCTCATCTTCTTCAGAAGAGATTCATGTGCAAACAATTTTCCCATTCTCGCCCTCTTTCCGCTTCCTCTTCCGCTTGAGTCCAACAATGAAGATGAGATTATATGCCACGCTGCCATTCAATTTTATTGCACATTAATAGCCGCGACCACAATCAAATTTATGCATTAGAGCAATTGCAAAAATCCACATTATGTGGCAAATAAAATTTTCCCCAACACTGGTGAGAAAGAAATTATGTGTAATTCGAAAAATGAAAATGTAAATTCTCTTAGTCTCTCACGAAAGTTGAACCGCGCGTCTTTTTGCCTTTTTCACACAGAAGGAAAACCCGCACCTCTCATCCGCGACTCGGGGATGTGCTGAGGAAATGAAAAATATTCCGAGAAGAGGAAGGGAGTGGGGGGGAGGGAGGGATTGGCGAGGGGGCGGGTTTGATGGGGACCCACAGGAAATCGCTGTATGAAAAGTGAATGGGTGGCGGGGGATGATGTAATAAAATTTTATCTCTTTACGATTGTGTAGTCCTCCTTTGCTCCGCCACTGACTCTGGCGGAGCGTCGAAGTGAAAAAACGACTGTGGGTGGCGGAAGTGTCGGAGGGTGGGCGCGAAGGGGGTGGCGCGCAAGAGAGTCTGACGAGTAAAATTAAATCACACACACTTTGATCATCATCGTTCTTAGTTGCGGCGTCGGGGCGTTTTCTCCACGCAGTCGACTTGTACGGAATGCTCCTTCCCCAGTATGAAATATTGAGTATATGAGTTCCTGATGTATTCATTCATTCCCAGGAACTGTTGACTCCGCGTTCTCACCCTCCGCCACCCGCCACCCAACAGCGTTTTCTCAACTCACTGCACAAAGTGAGTGAAAAAGCTCCGGAGCAACTTCATATAGCCAAAAACGATAAATTTTAAAACTTTAATGCACATTTTCTCTTTCTCTGAGTAAATGTGTATGTGTGTAAATTTTGCGATATATATATATATTGCCATATTTTCCTTTGGGCAACTACTAACTTATACAACTTTCATGTATCACTCCATCTCCTTTTCTCTCACAACTCACAACTCATACCCTTTTGAAGGCGAGTGGAAGGAGATTCGGATGAGGGATGTGGAAGGTTTTGGTAGGAATAGATTATATTTACCCACGAAACTACATACAAAGAGTGGGAAAGCGAAGCCGCTCTTCCCGCCGGATATCTGCATGAAAATGTACAGTGGGTAAATCACCCAGAATTCCCACTACTTAGTGGATTAGACAGAATTCACCGTCAAGTCTGGGAGAGAAAGCTCACGCTTTTGCTCCTTTCCGTTGTGGGCTTTCGGCAAATACTGAAAAATCTTCAAATCCTTACATTCTAAAGTCATGTTCTAAGCACTCCGTGCTAGAGACTCACGTATGAAAAGCTCATAATGATGCTGAACAACTTCAACACAGAATCTTTTTTTTTGCAAATCAGTTTCGCAAAAAGTTTGCATTTTTGAAATTCACCAACCGAAGTCGCCTGAATGTTTCTTGGCATTTTCAACAAGAAAAAAACCAGAGCAAAAACTGTCCCAAGTCTCCTCAATTCAAAACCCCTTGACAAGATGATGCCAATCATCCCGAAGGTTACGCACTGTGTGGTTTGAGTAGGAGTGAAAATGCCTGAACATTTTCTCAAAATGTGTAAAATTCCAACCTTGATTCTCACATTGTGCGGCGTTGCGAGAGTGAAGTTTAAAACGTTAGGAAAATATACACTTGAGAAGTGGGGAATATTTGTATGAGTTCACATATTGGAGCTTATTATAATGTTTGCCACTCCCCGCGCTATATGCATCGTAGAGAGCAAAAAGCGATTTCCCCATGGCGCAAAAGGAAAACTTTTATACCACAGAGGATAGAGAGGATATTAAAATGAATAAATTTGCACAACTTTTATAACTCCCTGCCATGAGACGATCCTTTTCTCCATCGTGTTTATTTACATGGCATAGCCGAAAAAGCAGGAGCGATGGCACAGGGACATGGGAGAAAAGTGCCACTTTTGCAGAATATAGCGGAAGGACACTGCCAGCAGTGTCATTTCGCATAAATTAATTAATCACAAGTGCACAAACTGGCAATATTTCGAATACATTGAATAACATTCGGGGGTGCTCTGGGGGTGGAGAGAGAGAGAGAGAGCGAGGGACACATGAAGAGATCGAGGCAAGGGTCATATTTATCAGCGGAATATATCTGCAAATCCGCCCACTCAGCCCTCAGCTCTCTGCACGAACTTTTCCCAACACTTGCGTATGTGAAGGAGATACAATTTGGGTCGCCAAGCAGTGTGGAGAATATTTTGGAGGAGTGAAAGCCACATCAAAAAGCATAGAGAAATATGTATGCTCGCACACCCGAACCATACTTTGATATGTTAATTTTAATGAGGTGGCATGTGGCGATATTAATCCATCTGACATGGCCCAAGCTAAGCACTATGAAGCTATAATGATGATATTTTTGGTGATAGTTGTGAATACAAATGCGGAAATTGATAATATTGTGCAGCGTCATATCGCTATTATATTGATAAATTAATTAACGTGTGTAAATTTCATTGCACAAATGCATGCGACAGAAATTTCTGAAAACACACGTCGGAAAAACACCACAGACTTTATGCCCAAAATGTGCTAAATGGCTGGGATTTCTATATAAAAAATTATCTACCCTCGCAAGCAAATTTGTATCACTGTTTAAACATGCTCAGACAACACAAATAGTTACTCATTACCATAAACGCGATTAAAGATTAAACTTTAAGAAGCACGCTGAAACCTTTTTCAGCGCGCTTGTTGGACGATTGCGGGTGTTTTTTTTTTCTTCCCTTTGGCCAACTTTCTAATGTACATGAGATATTAAATTTTAAAGCAAGAGCGATAACAAGCATTTAAAATTCATTTAACAGCTCTATAGCTTGCATACTTGGACTTGTTCTCTCGCCTGGTGTTCGTGTCCATATGGCACAGAGGAACACTTTCTGCATAGTAATTTTAATGCTATGGGGATCAATAAAGTGTGCTTAGAGAGCCAGAAGATTTTTAAGAA